ATATCTCTCTCTAACTCTCTCTTTCTCTCTCTTCTGTTTTTTTTCCCCGGTCCCTCCTCCGCAGATGACAAACTTCAAGGAATGTGTGGCTTTTTACACGTCATTCTCCACTCGGTCAAGGGTTTCAAGCAATCTGCCAGTGAGTGCCGGATTGATTAAGTAGATCTAATTAGATTATTTTTTGGCATCTTCCCTGAGGCTTCCCCTCCCCAGGGCCTTAAATGGCATAATTTGAGCCGGCTGTAGCTTCACCTAGAGAGGGTCTGAGGCCATCCAGGCAAACGAAGCCCCTATTGTGTGATCATTTTGCAAGGGATGGATCTGGGGCTCCCAGCCCAACCAAGGACCTCACAGTCCTCCTCCTCCTCTTCTCTGCAATCCCCCTTCCCTTCTAGCACTGATAATGTTCCCTAGTTGGGTCATGAAACGTCTGCAAGAAAACAGCCAAGCTCAGGGAGCATCAAAGATCCCACAATACTTTTCCTCCTCCTCCTTCCCCTCCTCCTCCTCCTCCTCCCCCTCCTCCTCCTCCTCCTCTCCACAAACCACCCTCCCTTCTAGCACTGATAATGTTCCCTAGTTGGGTCATGAAACGTCTGCAAGAAAACCACTCAGCTCAGGGAGCATCAAAGATCCCACAATACTTTTCCTCCTCCTCCTCCTCCTCTATCTCCTCCTCCTCCTCTCCACAAACCTCCCTCCCTTCTAGCACTGATAATGTTACCTAATTGGGTCATGAAACGTCTGCAAGGAAACCACCAAGCTCAGAAAGCATCAAGGACCCCACAATATTTTTCCTCCTCCTCTTCCTCTTCCTCTCTGCAAATCCCTCTCCCTTCTAGCACTGATCATGTTCCCTAGCTGGGTCATGAAACGTCTGCAAGAAAACCCCCAAGCTCAGAAAGCATCAAAGATCCCACAATACTTTTCCTCCTCCTTCTCCTTCCCCCCCTCCTCCTCCTCATCCTCCTCCTCCTCTCCACAAACCACCCTCCCTTCTAGCATTGATAATGTTCTCTAGCTGGGTCATGAAACGTCTGCAAGAAAACCACTCAGCTCAGGGAGCATCAAAGATCCCACAATACTTTTCCTCCTCCTCCTCCTCTATCTCCTTCTCCACCTCTCCACAAACCTCCCTCCTGTCTAGCACTGATAATGTTACCTAATTGGGTCATGAAACGTCTGCAAGGAAACCCCCAAGCTCAGAAAGCATCAAGGACCCCACAGTTCGACTCTTGATTTACCAATATTCTCCTTTAACAGCCAAGCTTACCTGGCCCAACCGAATAGCACAAGGCCTTTCTACTTCCCCTCCCACCCTGAACTCCCGATCATGATGCTTTTACTTTTCAGATCTTGGATCAAGCCACCGGTTTTGATAGCTGGATCACTTTGGTGAGGGGTGTCTGTTAACAGATCACCCTCTAAAGCAGGGGTCTCCAAACTTGGTAACTTGAAGACTTGTGGACTTCAACTCCCAGAATTCCCCAGACAGCTTTGCTTTGCTGGCTGAGGAATTCTGGGAGTTGAAGTCCACAAGTCTTCAAGTTGCCAAGTTTGGAGACCCCTGCTCTAAAGTCTTTCTGTCAAGTCAGGAGTAGGACTTCAACTCCTAGAATCCCCTTGCCAGCATGAATTAAGATGGTGGACTTTAACTCCCAGAATCCCCCAGGAAACATTTATTTATTTATTTATTTTATTTTATTTTTATACATGCTTTAAGACATGCTTTAAGAGGGGTGGACTTCCGCTCCCAGAATCCCCCAGGAAACATGCTTTAAGAGGAGTGGACTTCCACTCCCAGAATCCCCCAGGAAACATGCTTTAAGAGGAGTGGACTTCAACTCCCAGAATCCCCCAGGAAACATGCTTTAAGAGGGGTGGACTTCCACTCCCAGAATCCCCCAGCCAGCATGCTTTAAGAGGGGTGGACTTCCACTCCCAGAATCCCCCAGGAAACATGCTTTAAGAGGGGTGGACTTCCACTCCCAGAATCCCCCAGGAAACATGCTTTAAGAGGGGTGGACTTCCACTCCCAGAATCCCCCAGGAAACATGCTTTAAGAGGGGTGGACTTCCACTCCCAGAATCCCCCAGCCAGCCAAGTTTCGGCAACACAAATCTAAGGGCTGGATTTTAGGAAGTTCCCTCAGGTAAAACATAAAATTTATTTCCTATTTTTTTCCCCCCTGATGTTGTTAGACCTCTACTGTACTCTGGAAGTGGACTCTTTCGGGTATTTTGTCAGCAAAGCCAAAACACGAGTTTTCCGGGACACAACGGAGCCTCAGTGGAACGAGGTAAGCCATCCGCGATGCCTCTGAGCATGTACAGAGGGCCTCCCCCCCACCATTTCCCACTTTGCCGCACTTGCTCTGAGCATGGGGAGATTTCCCAGCTTTCATTGCCGATTTCTGAAATAGGTAGTCCTTGACTTATGACCGCGGTGTCGCCCCCAATTTTCCGTTGCTAAGCGAGACAGCTGTTAAGTGTGCTTTGCCCGCATTCCACGAACTTTCTCGGTTGTGAAGTGAATCACTGCAATTGTTCGGTTAGTAACACGGTTGTTAAGTGAATCTGGCTTCCCCATTGATTTTGCTTGTCAGAAATTCACCACGTGATTATGCAACAGTCCTAAGTACATGCCAGTTTCCAAGTGTTTAAATTTTGATCATGTGGCCACGGGGATGCTGCAACGGTCATTAAGTGTGAAAAACGGTCCTAAGTCCCTTTCTCCAGTGCTACTTGTTACTTCGAATGGTCCCTAAATGAACTGTTGTAAATTGAGGACGAAGCTGGTTGAATTGAAAGTTGAAATGACACTCTGCACATGCTCAGAAGCACTGATGTTCTTTTACCTGTCCATAAGTGGCAGATGCCCCAATTGGAGGGGTTGGAGGGGAGCCAGATAGGTAAAGATTGTGATTGTGCAATTTTTTTTATAATTTTGCTCAAGTTACGTCGGGACGTGCAAAAAAACGGATTAAATTCCAAAGGAAACTACAGGTAGTCCTCAATTTACAAACGGTTCATTTAGTGACCGCTCAAAGTTACAAAGCGACTTACGACCATTATTCACACTTACGACCGTTGCAGCATTCCCCCCCGTGGTCATGTGATTAAAATTCGGCCCCTTGGCCACTGGTTCATATTTATGACGGTCGATGGAGGTCACGTGATCCCTGTTTGCGACAGCCAGATTCGCTTAACGACCGGGTCACTAACTTTATCAACCCGCAGTGATTCACTTAACAACGGTGTTGCTGACTTCACCCATGCAATAATTCACTTAACAATGAATGCAATAACTCGCTTTTCTCTCAACAAGAAAAGTCGTAAAAATGGGGCAAAACTCCCTTCACGCTTAGCAAGATAAATTTTGGGCGCGATTGTGGTCGTAACTCGAGGACGACCTGTAACGATCGGAACACTTGTGGGGCAAACCCCCAGCCATTTCTCGGCAAAGGATTCCCGGAAAGAAACGATATGCAATTATCAATTTACTGTACAAACTGAAGATGACCTAACAATGCAGCTGGGAATTCATTGATAATTTTATTTATTAATCCAATTTAAAGATCTCCTGACTTTGCTGCCAATATGGGAAAATGCCTCCTTTTGTTTCTAGTCAAAGCTTTACGGCGGGCAATACTAGGGGTCCTCGACATACGACCGTAATGGAGCTGATCCATTACGGTTGTAAGTTGTGCCCATTTTACCACACTTAACGACCGTTGTAGCATGCCCACGATCACGTGATCAAAATTCAGGCACTTGGCAATCGATTCGTATTTATGACGTCTCGAGGTCCCCTTCTGCGACCTTCCGACAAGCCAATTCAATAGGGAAGCCGGATTCGAATAACGAACGTACAATTCGCTTAACAGCGAGGTCGTAAAATGGGTCAAAACTCACTTAACATTGTTTAGCAATGGCAAGTTTGGGCTGGCCAAACAGTCGTAAGTCGAGGACTTCTTGTATGATCCTACACGGCTCCTGGACTCCCTGAAAATGAATTTGTTTTAGTCATATTTCTTTTGTGTACTTATTTGAACACGGCTGTAATACAGGTAGTCCTCATCTTACGACCACAATAGGGCCCCAAACTTTTGTTCGTGCCACCGTTATTAAGTGAATCAATGCAGTTCTTAAGTCAGTCACATGGTTGTTAAGTGAATCTGGCTTCTCCCATCGACGTTGCTTGTCAAAAGGTCGCAAAAGGGGATCACGTGACCCCGAGAGAATGAGACCGTCATAAGTGTGAACCAGTTGTCGAAGTTCTGAATATTGACCCCGGGGATGGTGCAACGGTTGTAAGCGTGAAACACGGTCGTAACTCAGCTTTTTCACTGCCGTCGTAACTTCGAACGGTCACTAAATGAACTGTTCTAATTCAAGGACTGCCTCTACCGAGTGTCCGAATTTCGATCATGTGACCATGAGGATGGTGCAACGGTCATTAAGTGTGAAAACTAGCCCTAAGTCACTTTTTTTCAATGCCATTGTGACTTACAACGGTCACTAAATGAACGGTTGTAAGTCGAGGACTGCCTGTATTCTCACTTTTTTTTTTTCTTCTCTCGGTCTCTAAACTGTTGCTGCTTCTCTAAATTTCTCCTGCCTGTCTGATTTCTGCAGGAATTTGAGATCGAGCTGGAAGGCTCTCAGTATCTGCGCATCCTCTGCTACGAGAAATGTTACGACAAGACCAAGCTCAACAAAGACAACAACGAAATTGTCGATCGGATCGTGGGAAAGTGGCAAGTCCAGGTGCGGGGGCCGTGGCACGCGTGGCGGGGGAGAAAAAAATGGTCTCTTTTCACTTGGCGGAGTCGGAAGGAAAGGAGGCTCTGTCTTGCATTCTCCTTGCAAGGGAGAAAGCTAGCATCTCAAGAAAAGGGATGGAACCCCACCCATCCATGCTTTAAGAGGGGTGGACTTCCACTCCCATAATCCCCCAGCCAGCATGCTTTAAGAGGGGTGGGCTTCCACTCCCAGAATCCCCCAGCCTGCATGCTTTAAGAGGGGTGGGCTTCCACTCCCAGAATCCCCCAGCCTGCATGCTTTAAGAGGGGTGGGCTTCCACTCCCAGAATCCCCCAGCCTGCATGCTTTAAGAGGGGTGGGCTTCCACTCCCAGAATCCCCCAGCCTGCATGCTTTAAGAGGGGTGGGCTTCCACTCCCAGAATCCCCCAGCCAGCCTGCTTTAAGAGGGGTGGGCTTCCACTCCCAGAATCCCCCAGCCAGCATGCTTTAAGATGGGTGGACTTCCACTCCCATAATCCCCCAGCCAGCATGCTTTAAGAGGGGTGGACTTCAGCTCCCAGAATCCCCCAGCCAGCATGCTTTAAGAGGGGTGGGCTTCCACTCCCAGAATCCCCCAGCCTGCATGCTTTAAGAGGGGTGGACTTCAGCTCCCAGAATCCCCCAGCCAGCATGCTTTAAGAGGGGTGGGCTTCCACTCCCAGAATCCCCCAGCCTGCATGCTTTAAGAGGGGTGGACTTCAACTCCCAGAATCCCCCAGCCAGCATGCTTTAAGAGGGGTGGACTTCATCTCCCAGAATCCCCCAGCCTGCATGCTTTAAGATGGATGGACTTCCACTCCCAGAATCCCCCAGCCAGCATGCTTTAAGAGGGGTGGACTTCAGCTCCCAGAATCCCCCAGCCTGCATGCTTTAAGAGGGGTGGATTTCCACTCCCAGAATCCCCCAGCCTGCATGCTTTAACAGGCGTGGACTTCAACTCCCAGAATCCCCCAGCCAGCATGCTTTAAGAGGGGTGGACTTCAGCTCCCAGAATCCCCCAGCCTGCATGTTTTTTTTTTCTTATTTTCTACCCAGCTGTCTTAATGTTATATTTCTCAACCTTGCTCACTTTCACTGAAGTCCATTCATCGCAGGATGTCATCTGGGGAATTCTGGGAGTTTGGCTCCCCTCTTCTTTAAAGCATCCTGGCTGGGGAATTCTGGGAGTTGAAGTCCACGCAGCTCCTCCTGCTTGAACAGGGAGTTGGATTACTAAGAGACACAAATTACGTGTAGCTTAGAAACAGCCCAAAGCTTCATTGAATGTGTGGCTTTTTCATATTGTTGTTGTGAGCTGGGACCCCTTCAGTTTCGTTTGCTTTTAGCGTCGTGTTCTTGGAATGGCAGAGTTAGGTAGAAGAGAAATAGAAAAGAAATAGAAGAGAATATTTGTACAATTCACATTGTAACTGTGCATTGGTGCTCTCTGAGCTTGGCGGACATTTCATGACCCAACTACTTAATACTATCAGTATTAGAAGGGAGGAGGGTTTGCGGAGAGGAGGAGGAGGTGGAGAATTGTGGGGTCCTTGGTGTTCTCTGAGGTTGGTGGTTTTCATGCAGACATTTCATTACCACACTAGGTAATTGTTCTGTCCCCGTCCCACACGCACACACACCAACAGACGTTCAAGAGTTAAAGACCAAACCAGCCGGCAAAATCCTTTTCCTTATGATAACGGAACTTGGCAACAACCTAGTGGCTGCCTGCCAAGAGTTTATTCTTTACGAAGAGGAGAGATAACTTCTCCCCGCTTCTGGTACATCAAAAGAAACAGCTCAATAATTACGGAGTCAATCAAGTCCAGAGATAATCCAGCAAAGTCTATAGCAAAAAGTCCGGCAATGCAGAATAGCGTGGAAGCTTTCAGCTTTGTTCATCACAAGGTTTGACTGGCCACCACGCTCCCTTTTATACCCTGTGGGGTGTGGTCCAGTGACTCAGCCTAATGTCGGGCACGCCTTTTCTTCTGTTACGCGCGCTTATCTCTGCGACGCTGGCGTGGATCCAGCCAAGACTCATCGCCCTCATCACTGTCCACCTGTGGCTGCGTGGACGTGCTTGGCCCCGCCCTATCTCTTGCCCTTCGGCGGACACCGAAGGCATTGCCAGAGAGGAGGGTCCTGGAGAGGGAGGCCTTGCCAACTCCTCTCCTTCACTCTCGGAGTCCTCTCCTGCCGATGACACAGGCTCAGGTAACGGAGCCACAACAGTAATATCATCAGTGCTAGAAGGAAGTGTGGAGTCCGAGAAGGAAGTGGAGGAGGAGGAGGAGAATAATTGTGGGGTCTTTGGTGCTCGTTGAGCTTGATGGCTTTCTTATGGACGTTTCATGACCCAACTAGGTAACATCATCAATGCTAGAAGGAAGTAGCATTTGTGAGGAAGAGGAAGGAGAAGGAGGAGGACTGTGGGATCCTTGGTGTTCTCTGAGCTTTCGATGGCTTTCTTGCAGACATTTTATGACCCAACTAGCTAACGTCATCAGTGCTAGGATGGAAATGGACTCTTAAGTATTTCGTTCAGAATACTCGGAGTCCGGTACCCCTTATTCTGACTGACACCTTTCATTCAAAAACAGAAATTTTGGAGAGATGCACAGTGTCTAGACTGGCTTTTAAATAAGATTTCCTTATGATTGTTTGGGTTCATTTGGAACGAGGGATCCGGAGGGTTTTTGCGAACATGAAGCGGAGCCTGGCAGCCCCTTTTCTGTCTTACGAAATTTTATTCCAAGGCGGAAAGTCTTGTGGGCTTAAAGCTCACTTCGTCAGATCCAATGCCATTTCGTTTTAAAAAAAAAAAAGTGCACCTTTTATTAAAACGTGTGAGAAAAGGGGACTGCCGGGCTCCTTCAGACTTTTCATTGAGCTGACAGATTTACAGAGTTGGAAGGGACCTTGTAGGTCATCTAGTCCAACCCCCACTCCCTCGCCGTCCAAGCAGGAGACCCTACACCCGTGATGGCGAATCTATGGCACGCGATGGCACGCTGAGCCATAATAGTGGGCACGCAAGCGTTGCCCTAGCTCAGCTCCAGGGCGCATGCGTGCGCCGACCAGCTGGTTTTCGGGCCTTCCGGTCCCACCAGAAGTCAGCAAACGGGCCGTTTCTGGCCTCTGCAGGGTTAGGGAAGGCTGTTTTTGCCCTCCCCAGGTGCCAAGAAAGGTTCTGGAGCTTCGGGAGGGCGAAAAACAGGCCTAACGAGGGGGGAGTGGGGGGGGAGTCATGTGCGCATGTGTGGTGGGGGGGGGGAACATTGAATTATGGGTGTGGCCACGCGTGTGTGCAACCCCCCCCCCACGCTCCCCCTGCTTTTGGCACACGACGGCAAAAAGGTTAGCCATCACTTCCCTACACCATTTCTGACAGTCCAGTCTCTTCTTGAAAGCCTCCAGGGATGAAGCTCCCACAACTTCTGAATAACAGAAGAATAACAAGATTAACAGAGTTGGAAGGGACCTTGGAGGTCATCTAGTCCGACCCCCCACCCAAGCCGACCCTACACCATTTTTGACAGATGGCAGTTGTGGGTCTTCTTGTTCCTTGAGAGACAAAAATTCTTGAGAGACAAAAATATCTTTGCCCCTTCCCTGTTTTATTCCTCTTTCTACGATCTGAACTGCCGCAAAATTCAACAACAACAACAAAAAGAGCTTACAATTCCCAGCTGTTAATTCCTCTCCTCTCCGTAGTCCTCGACATACGACCACAAGGCAGCCCAAAATGTATGTTCCCAAGCGGGTCATTCGTCAAAAGGAGTTTGGCCTCATTTTATGCCCTTTCTTGCTTGCCATGGTTGTTAAGCGAGTTCAGTTAGGAACACGGTCGTTAAATGAACCCGGCTTCCCCGTAGACTTTGCTGGCTCGGAAGGTCGCAAAAGGGGATCACGTGACCCCCCCCGGGGCCGCTGCGACCGTCATAAATAGGAGTCAGTTGCCAGCATCCGAATTTTGATCACGTGACTGCAGGGGAATGCTGCAACGGTCGTAAGTGTGAAAAACGGTCCTAAGTGCCCCTTTTTTCAGTGCCGTTGGTCACTAAACGAACCGTCGTAAGTCGAGGACTACCTGCAATGCTCTCTGGAGTCTTGCAGATCTTCCCAAAGTTTTCGGGCTGCTTATAATGTAGCGCCGTCATTATTGCAAATTCCCGTAGGAGGCATGGAACCCAACGTGCGCCAGGGTTCAAATTTGTCCTCCCCTCCTCTCGGGGGGGGTGGGGGTGGGTTGGGGTGCCAGCAGGAGGCTTCTGAAGCTGTCTCCCCGATGCCAGGCTGCGGCACCGCCAGTTCCTTTGTGCCAAGACAGTAAATCCCCCCGGAGGCGTGCTTTTTCCTGTCTCGCTGTTCTCTTCTCCATCTGCACATTTATCGGCTGCGTCGGAGTCTGCCCGAGATGAGGCTGTTCCCAGGAAGAAAGAAAGAAAATCAGAAAAAAAATAATAATTATATTATATATTCCAGTGCAAGCAAATTTATTCGCCGTTTAGGGAAGTAAGTTTGCTACACTGGCATGCCCCGAAGTATAAATATTATAATTATACCTAAACAGGCACAGGTAATCCTCAATTTACAACCAAAGTTGAGCTAAGTGTGACATCTGTTATGTGAATCAGAATAGAGCTGGGAGGGACCTTGGAGGTCTTCTAGTCCAGCCCCCTGCTCAAACAGGAGAGACCATACACCATTTCAGACAAGTGTCAGGTTTCGATGTCGTCTTAAATAAATTGCATTTTCCAAACAGATAGTCTTTGATGAAATTTTTCATTTATTAAGCACGACAATCTGTCCCCGATTATGTCGAAGCCAACACTGACTTCCTGACCCCCAAACTTTCCCTTTCCGTTCCCCAATTCTCTGCATCTCATTGGCCATCTTCCAAATCACTCTCCCCATATCTACTACTTCAGCTCCCAGGAATGTCCCCCCTCCCATCTCATCTCCTAGGGGATATTATCTTC